TGAAGATATACGTTATTGTCAACGTTATTGCCTACGTGGTAAATTCAAAAATAATTTTTATAAAAACGTGGGCTATATAAAATTTTTATAATAACAAACATCATATTGTTCCCTTTGTTTTGTGTATGCTCGTGTCACTGACAGTTGAAGTCCTTCTCTGATGTTTGCAAGGTTGCAACGTTACTTTGCAATATTTTAAATATTTTTGGGTATTTTGCATGGTCTGTTATTGGAGTAGTGTCACCCGGGTGGGAGTTTTAACTCCTATTCACTGGGAATAAAAAAATCATTTAGCTGATGCAGAGAGACATATAGACCAGGGGAATCCCCCCCATCTCCCTACCCTCTGAATATAACGTATCATAACGTAACTACGTGTAAACGTTATTTGGCGGTTTTTACTTGGAAAACCAGCTATATTTTTCTTCCATTCGAATAACAATGGATAAACCTGAAACGATAGAAGAAATATTGGAGATGAATTTAATTTACAAATAAGGTAGGAAATGTGCTGTGCATAGAATAACTTTATGTGTGCTTCTGGCTGTTTGAAATAGCATACTACTATTGTTGCAGTATATAGTATATATGCTTATACTATGCATAGTATGCAAATTGTCTGTAAGCAGAGAATAACATTTTGTGCATTTCTGGCTTTGTTTAAAATGGCATACTACCAATCCTACACATATTACTGTTGCAGTATATACTGTAGTATGCATATTATGAAGAGTACGCACATTTTCTGTATTCATAGAATTACTTTCAGTGCATTTCTGGCTATGTTTAAAATAGCATGCTACTACTTCTACTATTTTTGCACTATATACATAGTAAGCATACTTTATGCACAGTTTACAACTTTTCTGTATGCATAAAATTACTGCATTTACAAAAAAAAGCACACTACACAGAATAGCATACTGTATATCCCACAATGCAATGTGCTCAACTTGACCTTCGATTCCTAGTGTGACGAATGATCCTGAAATGTCAGCAGCAGTTTTTCAAATATTTTATTGACTAATTTGATTGGGTTGCCAAAAAGTGTATGCTAAAAATTTTATACAAATGCAAAACAAATATTTATTTCCATTATTAAACATGACAAGGAATCATACAACTTTTTGGAAATGTTTATTGTGGAATAATGCATACTGTTTCACTTACTCTAAATTTTTTTTAAATAGTAGCTAGTATACAGTATTTATTGTTTAGCATTCAGTATGTAGTAGGCTAGTATTCTATTCCAAACACAGCCCTTTTTTCAAGTAAACTGTGTGTCTATTCTGTATGTTTGTAGCCTGTGTCTGTGTGTGTACATGACTTATAAAACCAATTTGTGAGTTACTCAAATGGCTTGCAGAAAGCAATTGCCGTGGTAATAAAAGCAGTTGCCTGATCTAATTTACTTGAATTGGCCGTCCATAGATGTTGTTTGTTTGTGTGTGTTCTGCGTCTGTGTAGGATAAACCTGAAACGATAGAAGAAATATTGGAGATGAATTTAATTTACAAATAAGGTAGGAAATGTGCATACTTTTAAATCGACACCTGCCATGGTGTTTCTTATTTGTCATCTGTGATCCCTTTTGAGTGTCCTAAAAGCCGATGGGGGCTGGGGGGTCTTATCACTCAGCATACCCAGTTAAAAAATCACCGCTCGCCACTGATAGATAGATAGATAGATAGATAGATAGATTGATAGAATTCTTTAATTCTGCCATCTGTTTTACGAAAGTTCTGTCATTGGTCTAACAAACAGATAGCCCCGCCCCCAACTCAAACAATTGGTTGAGCCGTTGCTATGTCGATCTGGTCATGATTCTCAAACAAAACAGATTGTTTTCAAAGCACCAGAGTGTTTATACATTTCAAGGGAGTAACTGGCAAATTGCTTATAGTTACTTCCTTAAGTATACAAAAACAAAAGTATTTTAACATCAAAAACGTTACATTACTTTAAACAGTGAAATAAAATCAGTTTTTGAAGTTTGGTACACATTTTCAATTGATCTGTACCACAGCAGAAAAGCCTTTAAACTGGCCACACACTTTTATAGCCTGGTTATTTATTTGCTACAAGCAATCAGTGTAATTTTCATGGGTGAATTTTACTTTCAGTTGTGTTAGTTTGTGTTACTACCCATGTGACCCATTTTTTCAAAGCCAGACCTAGAGCGAACTCCGCATAATCGAGCCAGGGGACACAATTTAGAGAGAAATGGTGCTAATGATTCAATATTAAACTGAAACGAGACAAAGTCAAGTGGACGAGATCATCATTATGGCAAATAAATGAAGAGAGCGCCATTGCCTGGAAGCAACTCTGATCCCCGCCACAGGGCAGTAGACTCCACTTTCGTCTGCTGGGTCCCATGTTAATTATTTATGTTTAATTATTTCTCTTTTATGCTCCACGTTGTCGGCAGGTGGATGGCTGGAGGTTCCAGCAGCGCGTTAAACACACAGCAGCATATGCAGAAAGCAGGCATTTGTAGACGTGTTCGCGACTTGACCGCCGCTCGTTAGGCCCTGATATCTTACGAACGGTAGATCTTAAAAAAAATAAAACAATTAAAAGAAAACCCTCGGTCCGACAGCTGCCTTGGGAGTGATTTTAATGGTCCTTGTCACAGTGGTGAGTGTTTGTGTGTGTGTGGTTGTCACTACATGTGTGATCTGATTGATCCGGCGAGAGAGGGAGGCAAAGTGTTACCACTGCGATCCCGCTGACAGCTCTCGTAACATCCGAAAACGATTCCTGAGCAACTTAGTGGGAGATTTATTAATTAATTTATTTTATTTTATTTACTTTTTTTTTTTTTGTGTGTTTTTGGCCTTAATGTGGTTGTTAAAAATGGACGGGGCCCGTCTGGGCAGATTCGAGCGCTGCTTATTGTCTGATTTATGTGTGTTTAATGTACAGGAATATTAAGCGTTGCTTGGGCGAGAATCCCTGTCCTATCACAGGCATATGAATGCCTCCCCTGGTCGGCTCCTGACACACAGTTTGTCATGTCTGCCGGAGCTCTACTCTGAAAGTATGCCGTTCCATGCGCACACATGAATAGCTATGATACCTATGCATAAGTAATGGCACAGCTTGCTGCCGCCACCGCCAGTGGCTGGGAGACGGCAAACGCGTATCAGCCCCAAAAAATGACAAAGTGCGCAATGCAAAGCGTGGAGCATGTTTTGAATATCCACAGTAGAGCCGTGCCAGATTGTCAGATTCATCAAGGTCCTTAATATTGATAACAGACGTTTGATGAAATCTAAACGATTTTACGCTCCGCTGTGCATAACGTTGGACTCGAATGGAATGAATAAATGCACGGGCTGGTCTATGTAGCTTCCTTTTCACTTCCTCAACTCGAAACTGATTATAGAGGTAAAAAAGATTGGATTCTCTTAATCTGTAACTGAGCCACAAATATATAAAAGATGGTAATTACAGGCTTCCTTGGAAAGACATAACACTCTCTCCCGTGTTTTTTCCAGAACTTTAAAACAGAAGGCTTTCCTTATCTGTATTGATAATATAGAGCTTCCATGAAGACATGGAAGGCCACTTGTCTGTGTCACACTGATATGGATGTTTTGTTTTGCTACTTGTTCAATTACGGTGAGTGTTGCACTCAAATCTGTTTGCTGTGGTTGTTAAAAATTTATCCAATCAGAAAAACTGTGGTAAGTTTAACTATTAATGATTCCTGAGCAACAGGGTAATTAATGAGCTGGAAACTAATAGTCGGCCCTTATGGGAAATCACAATTAGACCTCCGACTCAGATCATGAATGCATGCCCCCATCCATGCGCATACACACTTACACACTCTGTCTGACACCATCCCCCTCTTCCTTTTTGTCTTCTGATAAGATTTTTTTTCTCACAGCGTCTAATTAAACAAGGTTATTTACATGCATGTCATACTGATTTTTTTGGCATAAGACAAGGAGTTTTGTGTGTGCATTTCTGGCAAATTTTCGGTATGCATAGCATGACTGCTTGAAATGGCATACTACCATACTAGACAGACTATCAGAACAAGCCTGTGGGGAGTATTAGCGAGCGCTCATCTCTTTGGACGGGTCTGACAGGGCGCTGGAGGGCCTCGTATCCTGTTGGTAGCATGCGGCAGCAAATCAAAGCCAGCTAGCTATAAAACAACACGGCTAGAAATTCTGCCCTCCAGCAGTTAAACAATTAACAGTCGTACATCTACAGACTGAGAGGAAAGAATCATGTGGTGAGCGTGTAGAATTCTTAGATGGTAGTTAAAGGGACAGTTGCTTTTGTGTCTTTTCAAACTTGTTTGCCTTTCTTTCTTCTGTGGAAAATAAAAGACGTTTTGAAGAATGTTCACGCAGCTCATTTCCATACAATGAAAGTGAATGGGGACAAAAGCTGTCAAGCTCTAAAAAGTATGACTTATATTTCATTCTGTTTCTGTACTTAGTACACAATTCATATTTTCTACTTTTTTCGACAGCTGTGGTTCCCATTACACACACCCACACAAAAACTGACATGTGCACCCACACGCACACTTGACATGAACAAACAGAAATGCAGGCTGCAAAGAAACAGATTGAGAAATGTGAGAAGCCGACTAGAGAGTGGACGAAATACCGATGCGATCACTTTAGGTGACCCACTTGATATCCTCGCTAATATAAAGATCCGCTTTTAGCGTCGTGACATACTAATGCTACATGTTTTGCGTGTCTCTGTGAGCTCCTCTTAAAGTAATTATGACCAGAGGCTGTGCAAGCCATCAAAGCTAGAAGAAAACAACAAAGTTGGATTTGAAGTCGTTTTGACTGAAAGTTGAAGTTTACTTTTAACAAATTCTGCTCTATATTTTAATTTGAACATCCAAACAGAGTTGTACAAATATCAAAATTTCTTCCAAATAAATTCCCGTTGAACTTCTCTGATCCTATTATTCATACAGCAGAAGCAAAAAAAGCAACAACAAAAAAAATCCAATAAATTATATCCATAATTTACAGCCGTAGGATTACAAGATTCCACCTGCAACTGTTCTGAATTCATTTTCAGGGCAGGAGAGAATCAAACGAGGAACGGTATTAACTTATTCTTGATCAACACCGTAGGGAGACCGGCCCATTTAAAACTAAAGGGATCAATACTGGCCAGAACTCAAATAACACTCACACACACACACACACACACACATGACCGTAACATGGAGTTCATAAAGTGCTTAACCTTGAATGTAGACTATATCATTAAAACAAGTCAAATTTGAAATGAAATATATAAGAAACAGCAAATACTGGTTGCCTATAGCACATTAAAATCCTAAAACAGAATTCTAAGTGACATTTAAATGCTTTTAAATTATAATATTAATATTTAAATATTGTTTGTAAAAACTCAAAACGGCGATTTTAAATGGCAAATCATTTTCTCATGTTGTGCTACAGAGATCTGTTAACAATTAAAGAAGAAAATCCACCACCATATACACCCTTTGGGGGAAAAAACAATGTGAATCAGTATGTGTGTGTGAGAGAGAGAGACAAAGACGCTGGATTTTCTAAACTGTCCATTTGGTTTACGAACTATCATGTGTGACTGAACTCCAAAACCTCTGACGCTGTCCGGAAATGAACACCACTAGATTTCAATTGGACACTGACAAAAACTTTACTAAACACAGCCGGTCACTAAACAAAATCCACATCCCATAATACGCTAATAAATACCTCCACAAATAATTAAATAAATAACAAGTGCACATGAATTTGATTTGATTTACATAAAAAAAAAAGATCAGTTGTTCTTAAACGGTTTTGTATGTCAAGTGTTAACTTGAAAAATAAATAAATAAATAAATAAATTTAAAAAATAAAATAAAATATATATATATATATATATATGGATTTCAAGAATGACATCACGTAACCTATACATTTTGCCAATTGACAGATTAATTTTCTCCAAAATACAACTTGAGTGGATGCAAAGCCTTTGAGGTCAACAACAAAAGGTGTGGATAGCATTTTCTTCTTTCTCTTAAAAACAGATATGGCTATTTATTTTCTATTCTAACAGTCCATAATTATATAGTTAGATGCATCGTTTTTTCGCCTCATCAGGTCTCCAACCTGAGACCCATTTTTAGGTCACGACCTTTCAGTTGAGAAGTTAAAAACAGCTGATGTTACGCACCTTACAGCTCTCACAGGTCAGTAACCCGTAGTGATATCCGGACACCTTGTCTCCGCACACTGGACACATTTCCTCGAAGTCTTCGTTGTAGGAGTAGTCCATCATTTTAAACTGGGGGGCTGAAAATCACAATCAAAATATGAGTAACAATTTACATTACAGAGTCTAATATGTTACACATATTAGATGTTTTTGTAATTAATTATTGTGGCAAAAAATGGTTTTGCAGTCTGATGTAATAGAATAGAATAATCTTTTTAATGTTCATTTAGAAAGACACGCTCAACTGAAGAACCTAAAACATCTCTGAACAACCACACAGAAGCTCAAAACCAAACGAAAAGGTTCCTGAGTGGAACTATTCTTTGCTTAACAATTGAACAATCTTTATTTTTAAGCCTGTAAAACATATTTTATGTTAACTGTCCGATACCTTCTACGAGTAGCCTGCAGTTTTGCAAACAAGTCTATAAAAAGTCGAGGAGTCACCAATTGTGAGCTTTACAAAATCCTATAGCCTTAAGAGTGAATTTTCTGGAAGTATATGCAGTTTTGGGTCTCAAGGAAATAGCCGAAGCTTCGAGTCGGGTGTGGAAGATGGACGCAGACGGAGCAAAACTTCAGTTTCGATCTGGTTAATATTCATGATGGCTCGTAAATTGGTGTTGGGAGCACGAGAGAGGCTGCTGTCTGGAGCTGGAGTAGAACGTTTAGCCACGAGGCGAAGAAAAGCAAAACAATGTAAATACACGAGTATTGTGTGCTAGTGCTAGCAAAATAAAACATACACCGTGGCATGTGTGTTTTGTATGTTTGAGACTATTCTTTTCTCTGTAAATGATATAGCCTATATTTCATCTTCATTTTTTAATTAGCATTAACGTCGATGAAGTGATGCAGTTTGAGAGTTCTAAATAGAACCATCAGCTTCTAAATGTTCAGAAAGTGAAGAAGAAAAGCCATTCGAACTGGATTTTTGTTCCACAGGAAAAAGAAACACTTCGTTTGAAACAGACACATCTATTGCGAAGCAAAACCTTAAATTATAACATTTCACTGCTGGTTATATATTCTCTATATAACCGTGTATGTGACGAATAAAAATCTTGAATTGAATAAAATAGAACATGATCGGATTTTCGTTTATTATTACTCCTTATTATTCAAATATTCCCATATGTTCATTATTTGTGCAAAATGTATTTATTTTTTTTGAACGCAACAAGTGTGTGTTTTTTTTAATGCTCACATTTATGTAGAATAATTCCACGAGCATTAAGTCTAAAGGTTTTTCAGTTTGTCGATAATTCTCTGTTTCCTATTTAAATTTTAAATGTGAATAAAACATGCCGGGCTGACACGTTCCTTGATTTGTAAAAAAAAAAAAAAAAAACTTAATTCATAACGGCTGGTAATTGTTTATGACGTGTGCTCAAACCAAAATTGTAATATTTGAATTTAATAAGACATTCTTATTTAAAAAAAAAAAGAAAAACTACCAACCTACAGAACATTCCACGAGCATAAGTTCTCTCTTCATTTTAAATTATATTCCTCGATTATAATAATACATCAATCGGTCTTTTCCAGTCACTTATAGACTATGCCCGCAACGCCTTAATATAAAATTAGATTTCTACGACTGTAAATGTATATTCGTAAAAAAATTTTTTTTTAAAATCATAAAAGAACCCATTCTTATCAGTAACCATTTGTCGCGGAGTTGGTGTATGGTTCTTTGGATATTAAAGAGTTACATTATTGTCGGTTCTTCAGATTGGTTCCAGTACATAGATGGTTTTCTAAATCAATTTTGTCCTGACTGGAACCTTTATTTTAAAAAGTGCAGCTTATGCCGACTTAACTATTTTGGACCAGCAGATTTCTGTTTGGCATAAAGCTGCGCTCTGTCACAGTCATTATTGTGGTTTCGTTTTCCCCTTCTTGTTGTACATACTAAGAGCAAATTCATTGGCAGGTGATGCAGATCATGTTGAGTTTATAAGAGTTCACTCAGCTCAAAATAATTCACTCTCTGCTATTGCACTTTGTTTCCTAATCTATCTGTACGCGGCCACCTAGTGCACGTTTAAGTGCGAGGCAATTATAGTTTTGTTTGCAATCCTAAACTTGTTTTGTGTGGTTTGGTCATTTTGTAGTGTGTTTACATCTAAAACGATTTTCTCATACTTAAAATGTCAGTGACAGAACGAGTGTAAGTTATATTTGTGGCATGCGGTGTTCATAAAAGGTCACTGAGTGTAAAATATCTGACAATGAGAGGTTTAAAATTACGTGCATGAATGAAAGCGCGTGGCGCACATTTACTCTGACGCTTACCTTGCATGTTTCCTGGCATATGCCCCTGTTCCCCATGCGATCGAGCGAGTCCCAGAGATTCTGACTCGACTTTAGGCAGCATGACAGCTCTGCTGAGCCGATGATGAGCACGCGCCGCTCCGCCTGAGCGCGAGAGGAACACCAGAGATCCTCAAAAACACCGTCCAAACGTCCGAAACAAATCCTGTGTGTGTGCGGACCTACACGACGGCTTGAGTTCGCCTGCCCGTCTTTAATGAGTTGTTCACACGCTGTGCAAGTTCATTCGGGTGGTCTTTGCAGCGATTGTGATGCTGGTCTTTAAACCGGAGAGCGCGAACTGTCAGGAACTTCGCGCGAGCCACTCCTCCGCGCGCGCTCTGTCGCTCTGTCTGTGAAGTTCAAAAGGCTCCTCGCTGCTTTGTTTACGCCGCACCGACACCGCGTCAGCCAATCAGCGCTGCGTTCGCTGCGCTGGCGTCACGCGTTTATCCAATCAGAATCGAGCCCGAGAATCAGCGCCTCCGCTCGCTGGTACCTCGCGCCGGCAAACACAGACGAACTAGACTAATTGAACATTGCGAGACACGCAGCGCAGTTAACGGGAGCACCGGGAGGTATGTGGTGATATCCTGGAGGGCAAAGTGTTTGTGTGTATTGCAAAAATATAACTGAATAGGGAGGGTTATAGGAAGCAAGAGAAAATTACACAAGATGTGCTCTAAAATTGACGTTTAAAATGTATTTCCTATCTAATTATAGTGTAGCCTACTTTGTGGCATCAACATGCACTTTAAATGCTCTATAGGATTTTAAAGTTGAATTAATGAAAAAAGAAAGCAATTTAAAAAAAAGAAATTAGGATAGGGTATGCCTTGTGTAGATTAAAATGTAGGGTAGTCTACAGTGAGAATGTACAGTGTTTTGTAATTTGTTTTACTTTATATATTATTTATATATTATAAATAATTTTATAAACAAAATTATTTCGTCATTTTATATTTTAAATGTTAATTTTATTTAAATGTATAATATTTTGTACACATAGCTACTGTGGAGTCCAAACGATGTAAGAAATATGTCGATAAAATGCGTTTTAATGCACATTGCCTAAATGTGAGTTGTGTACATGATGATGTCAATAATATACCATAATAAGATCATAAAAAGCCCGTTAGACATAACCTGTGATATGATAACAAACGTCAGCAACATATCACGAAAATAGCTGGCATATAGACACAATATTTACATTCATACGCAAGAATATCACCACAAATCCACACACACTGTTACACCGGTTAAAAACACGAAGTTTAGTCTCCTTCCCATTACGTCGATCTCGCACACATTATTGCCTTTATATTTCAAGCATTTCATTCAAATGTATATATATTCCAAATTATGTTAAATATTTTTCTATAATGATAGGCTATACTACTAGGCCTACTACTAATTTTCTAATTGTTACAAAATTACCATTAAAGCATTCCGCTACTTCTCCGCTTGTCAGCCGGCTTATCTGTAACAAAACAGCGTAATAAAAAAACCAAAGTGCTGTTTATGTCATTGCACGCGATATAAAAATCACTGCATCCTGGTTTAAAAAATAAAATAAAGTCTTAATAGCCCAAGACGGCGATAAAGCCAGTAATAAACACGTTCAGAAAAGGGAAAAAAAAAATCGTCAACAGGCCAGCGCTCCACATCTGACCGGTTCGAATCAAATCATTCATATGAGCTCCAATATATAACCTAAGCGAATAGACTCAGATTGATCATATTCTGTTGAAGTCTGTTGGATATTTCAATGAGAACTAATTAATAATGACATTTTTATCAGTGCAAACAGATGGCAAGTAAAGCACTTACCCAAGTCTTTACTGGAGTCACTTTGTCCCAATTCACTCTCAAAACTAGTGGACATTGTAGGACCAAAATACCAGGTGACCCACCTGAGCAACTATATACCATACAATATTTCCATTCTTTCAAACTTTTGAAGCTTCATCAATAAGCATCTGTGAAGAAAAGTGAGGTGTTTTTGAGCAAAGCAGCCGCCTAGCATCTCTCCCTTTACTTTCACAGACACCACTCACCCCTCAGCACCCCCCCCCCTCACCATGACCTGCACTAGACCTGCAGTCATATCTCACCTACTCAACAATATTCAAAACTTCTGAGGTTGATAGGTTTGCCTAGATCACGTGGAGTTAGACAGATTGATAACAGCCAGTTATAAAGTGACACACAGATAGATAAGCCAAAGCAGATAGTGCAGATAGTACTGAAGGAATGATTAACCGGTGGAGAAGAGAGTCCGAACCGCTGTCCACAGCAATGACTGAATGGAAATAAGACAGGTGGTAAAATGCGAGATCAAAAGAACACAACAGGTTGATACCGGGCCGCAAACTTTGAACTACTTCTACCAAACACTAGCACACAGAGTGAGCTTGTTTTATGGGACGTGTGAGTATGAGGATAGACACGCGTGCTCAGTGGGATAAGAAATTTTCCTGGATGTAGTGACAGAGAGGCCGTCATCAACTCACATATGCATATCAATGGAAATGCAAACAAAATCCAAATATATATTATGGTTTATACTATAGGTGTTATTACAGAGGCCAAAATGTATTTATTTATTTATTTATTGAAATGTATACATTTGGGCCTCTGTACAAACAATATTCATATCTATTATTATATTATATTATATTATATTATATTATATTATATTATATTATATTATATTATATTATATTATATTATATTATATTATATTATATTATATTATATTATATTATATTATATTATATTATATTATATTATATTATATTATATTATATCATATTATATTATATTATATTA